TTAAATTTATTCCTGTATTAGAGTTTTACAATTTAATAGACTAGGTCCGAGCCTCGTAATATTATACAGTAATATTTCACGATATAACGAAATAGAAATGAGTATCCGCGCATTAATTACTTTAAATAAATCATTTACAGTGACAATTCAACTTATAACTCTCTTTTATTTTGTTGAAAACGTTATATTATTACAATGTTTCTACAACACTGTTATATTTTAAAATAAAACTGTGTTTAAGATGATTTAGATAACATTATTACTAAAAATGATATCATATACAGTAACATTTCAATTTGTTACTCAATTTGATAACAAACATGTGAAAAATGCGTACTTACCAGTCAACTTGTATAGTATTATTTCGTTTTATAACACTATCACTCAAATCAAAAATATGAACACTTGTTACAACACGTAATGTCACACTAACTGAGATTGGATGCGCGCACCGCACGTACAATTTACTGCAATGAAATAAGGTGCTAACTGCCATCTCTTGAAAAGTAATCGAGATACAGTGGTACTTCTTTTTTGTAAGCGTAAAACGGACGAAAGCGGTACGTTTTATTAAGAAAACGCTTAAATAAGAATTTTCAAGTTATTACTGTATCTGATTAGAGGTGCGATAATATTATGTGTATAAGTCTGGTTTTAAATAAAACAAATAGCGTGTTAGAGTTATCCTAATAACATAAATAGAATAAAAAAATTAATAACTGTGTCACGATAATTAATCGTATCTCGATATAAGCTCAAGGGAGCCCCAGGCAAGTTCTCGAGGCCAAAGGGCTCCAGCAGTATATTTACATTAGTGATTAATGAGCAGTTTAAGTTCCTCTTTAAGATCGGAAGTATTTTGAAATTATTCTTTCACACTACTTCAAATACCAAACTTTAAAATTTCACTTTTTCATAGATTTTGAGAAATTAACATCTGAAAATTATATATTTTGGCTGACTGGCTGACAGATTATGAAAATCTACGCTACCTAGACACATAAAATTTGGTCAAGGGCTAGGGTTTATCAAGAGGTTAAACGATATGTTATCGATCTCAATCATCTCATATCGATTCTCAAATTATAATAACTTTCCTTCTTCTTATTTGAGAATTAAATTTGAAAAAAATATATTTTATTATAACATTAACATTTAGGATCTTTTTTAGTGACAAAGAGCACACATTTGTGTTTTTATTGCCAATTAATTAAAAGTCAAGAAGAAAGAATTAAAAGTAAAGACAAGGCTTTATCTTCTACGAGTTCGTTGGCACTTTAACGGACATCCATTCTTAAAAACAAAATCAAAGTGAGAAGCTTAAAAGGAATAAAAGAATACTTGTACTATTTAAAGAACAATAAAAGCCATTAAAGCTTGTACCTAACCGGTTTGTGCCAATACACGTTGTACAGTTGTAAATACTTGTTTTTACTTTCACTTGCCGTGTTGACACTCGTACATAACTTCCACTTACTTTACCTACTTGTTTCAAAATAAAGTGTCCTTCATTATCATCAACAACCTTTAATAGTCCACTGCTGGACCTATGTCCAGCAGAGGCCTATGCCTCCCCTTAGAAAGGAGGTTTTGGTCTACTATACCACGCTGGCCAGACGGGTTATTATAGGGTTTGTGTCAAGTTTTCCTTCTTTTTGCAGTGCTGGTGTCCTGCGTTGTTTTGCGCCCTTATTCGGCACTTACGACACCCACGGGATGAATTGGGGTAGTGACATTCCGTATTCTTAATCCGTCAGTAAGTCTTTATTTTTTATAAATACAAGTCCTGAATCTTCTGGTTGTAATGTTTTAAGCTTAAGTTCTTGAGTTTGGACATGGTATTAATAACGGCATAAACAACTTGCTTAAAAGGTCTTTAAAGAAGATTTACCTCCACTTACCCAAATTTAGTATCGTGTGGTCACGGATTAAGAATATGGAATGTCACCACACCTAATTATCCCGTGGGTGTCGTAAGATTCGACTCAGAGGGCAAACTAGGCAGGACAACAGCACTGCATAAAGAAGAAAACTTGACACAAACCCTGTACCAATTACCAAACCGTCTGCCCAGAAAACCTCCTTTTAAAGAAGAGGCCTATGTCCAGCAGTGGACTATTAAAGGCTGTTGATGTGATGTACCAAAATTTATATAGCCGTTATTACTGCCAATTGTATTGTGACTTTTCCTTTGAAAACATCTAAAGGAAAGCTCAAACAAACATTATCGCTGTTTGTTATGGTTTTGCTATGGTAAACAACACGTATCATTTCCTGATAGAATGATTAATTGGGAAGTATGTTAAGGTCAGATACCTACGTTCGAGGTCAATCACGTAATGGTAAATGTAAATAAATTGAAAGTACATTTCTAATATCCAGACGGGAACAGTGGTCAGTTTGGGCATAAGTAGCGTTCATTACATTACAATAGAAGGAAAAAGCTTACACTGAGAGAAACATATGAAAAGGATCATCTCAACAATAAACGTTTGCAAGGTGAGCAAGCTTGAGGTAAATTCAGACATTCCATTACTTAAAAGAAATTTTTATGTATGAATGAACTAGCGATCCGCTCCGGATTCGCACGGGTGCAATGTAGATACTACCAATACTACTAATGTGGAGTATTTAATTATTCTATTATTGTGACAATATATACTACAGGAAATCTTTATACGCAATATTTATAGGCGCGCTCCGCTCCGCTGCCACCTAAATTCTAATGGATTATAATTTAAGTTTTAATAGTTAGTATTAAGAAAAAACCTGAAGAATCATATTATTTAAGAACTAAAGACCTTGGAATACAATACACCTTTAATTGTTTTTACTGTTGTCTTTAATTACTATCGTCGGACCGTACGATTCTATGTACAACTCTTGGTAAGAACTTGGAATGCATCTTTAATTGTATTTAAAAACAACCCAGACATCGGTCCTCCGTCATATACAGTTACCACTTCTTAGCAACAGCAAAACACCGTTTTGCTGTTGCTAAGAAGTGGTCTAAACACATTTAGAGGTCTAACGTCGTGTTATTTAGTGTTATTGACAGTAAAATACCACCAGTGTTACGTCAAAATATCGGTCGGCGTACACATAAAGCAAGTCGAGTTCACAACGAGACTGAAGAAGATCGTAGGCAGCGGTTAGAAGCAAACAGAATGAGAATTTCTCAAGTGAGATCTACCACGACTCCTTAAGAACCCATGCCATGGTCTTCAAGCGAGGGGGCAACAAAACAGACGATCAAACGTAACAATTCCCTCAGAACGTTAGGCGCTTAGATGTACCTAATACAATTACAGTATTGGTCGATATTGTAGTGCTTTGAGATTTCGACTCGAAAGCGCGACTTGTGCGAATGGAAAGGTCAAATTACCATCTGATGACGCCACCACCACCGCCACTTTCAATCCAAGAACCTCTATCAAAGCATTTTTATTCAAAATTATAATAGTGCATTTTAAACGACATAATTTGGGGCAAATATAATTGAAGAACATGGTTTCAACCCAACTTTTAAAGTATGCGTTTTTACTATGTAACATACATTATACACATCCATTGCAACATAATATATGAAAATTCTCACACATCACAAATGAAGATTTCTTTAAATATTTCTTTATGTTCAATACAGATTCAAGGAGAAATTCACCACCGTGCAGAAGCGTTGTTGCCATCGGTTGATGGGGATTACAAATTTTCTGAAATTTATTTCCTGGGTAATTCTGAAGCTCAAATAAACTAACGCTGTGCTATCGATCGTTCAGCTAGGAGAGAGATCATCATACAGCTGCAATAACTCTTAAATGAGCATAATCAATTGCAGTGCGCCTTGCATTCCCAATGACTATTAACAAGTCCTAAGGTCAATCGTTAGAAGCGTGTGGAATATACCTTGGATTGCCGTGTTTTTGGCATGAACAGTTATACGTTGCGTGCTCGAGAGTCGGCAAACCATTTCGGCGCTATTTGTTTTCATTCCAGAAGGAAAAACGAAAGATATTGCAATTTCGTTTTTCCATATTGCGACATTTTAATGCATTACCATCGGTTAAGATCACGTTATTTTTGGAACGAAGTTTCTTATCGCGCGTTGTGAAAGGGGGCTAGACGGAAAAAATTCTTACGAAAATTGGTCACGACACTTTTTGCTATAGTAAGCTATTGTAAGCTGTGCGGCGTCGCATGTTTCTCTGTCTGTCTCTCTCTCTCTCTTATAGAAAGCAAGCCAGATATTTTCATTTCTATCTTTTTATGTCAGTCATTCAGCGCCATCTATCGAATAGATAGGAAATCATTTCTCAAGGAGATTTTACCAATGTATAAATTGTTTTTATTAGAAACCAACTGAAAAATATGTAGGTAATAGCCGCTTTCATAGATGGCGTTGTAATTAAAATGTGCCGAATCAGTTTTACTCGATCGTTACAACTTCGTTCCTATCGGGTGTCCCACGACACCACACGGCTTTTTTATTATAATTTTACTTCATTACACGGTCGTATTTTAAACGAAAGAGTTTGTCTTATTTTTTGTCATGAAGCGCGTAACGTGTAACATTTCAGGTGCTGTTTAATTTGACGGGTTAATCATTTTCTATAATCTAATGTTAATTTATGGAATTATTGATAATCCAACTTATTTAAATTTACTGGCAGTGTGACATTTCCTTGATCCGCGCCTGTACACCGCCCGTGTGATGCCGGTGGTGGTGTGGTGATAAATAGTAAAACAAGTCTTTCATACATTTCGATAAAAATCACGAAAACAAAAATATAGCGGTACGAAGTTCGCCGGGGTATTTATTAATGTATTTCACTGTCGACAAGACTTGAGTAATTCGGAACGGAATAATACGTCATTACACCCAAAGTCCAATGCCAAATGTCAATTTTTTGACAGTTCGTTCATTTCATGTAAATATAAACACTCAATATTTACATGTAATGTTTTTATTTTTTTAAAACCCTCCTTAAAATAGTTAAACAATGGATGACGATGACTATTGGAACACAAGTGAAACTAAAGCCAAGGCTTTGAGCTTCGATGATGACGTCGTAAGTGAATATTTTAATACTGCCTTATATTTTTATTGTTTGACTAGGCACTAGACCCGGTTTTGTGCTGGATTATTTAGATAATAGATTATCTCTTAATTATGTATCATATATTTCTTTCTAAATACAAGATCTTAGCTTTGGATAGTTTTATATGTTATGATTTTCTCTATTGCTTCCATCCCCTCTACAATTTTCATGTTAAGTAACTATTCTAGGCATAGTAGTTTAAGTAGTCACCTCGTCTATTCAGAGTCATCGTCGCTGCAACAATTCTGCAGATTCATTATAAGTTCTTGATCACAAACTGAATCAAACATTACCTCTCGCTCCCAGTTGAAAACATTATTTTATCTTCACATAAGTATAAGATTTAAGCCAACAGCAAAGAAAAACAAAATCCAAAGACATTATTAGTTTTATTATGGATTTAAGCTTATCTATTTATCACAACCCTTTTAATTTGTAAAAAAATAAGTTTTATGTATTCTAAGCAAGAATCAGGTAGTTTTTATGAATAAAATATATTTAGCCTTTCTTAGTGTATTATTACGGTTGCGAAAAATTTAGATTAGAACGCCAGCACGTTATGAAATAAAAGTATCATTATCATTTACTTCTAGCTGTCAGCGGTATCAAGCTATGTTTTATGGACTATAGTGTGTGGGTTTTTTAAAAAAAACACGTTATTACAGTTCACATGGACACTTTATTCACAAAAATCTGGGGATTTTTTTGTACCCATAGAAATATAAAAGGATAACAATAGGAACATAAAAATTTATCTAGATTTTTTAAAATAATATGTATGCACTATTAAATTGTTAATACATTATGATTTCTTTATGGTTACTTTTAGCACTATGACTTTACAGGATTTAACTACTATCATGATATGCCATTTAAATATTCATTTTTTTATATTATATGAACATGTAAAAACTAATTAATTTTGGTCATGCAAAATAGTACTATTGCCAAAAAGAGTGGTCACCTTCTCAAAAAAATCCTCCTAACTCACACCATCTTAGAAAAGATATTACACAATTAAGAACAATATTTTGAAAATTTTATTATTTTATAGAAATACTAAAACATATATTACTTTCAGTTGTCACCTCAAGAGATCCTGGCAATTGGTCAGAAGTCATACTCGGGACAGAGTGAAGAGAGCATATTTAGTAACCTAAACATCACATCTGCCAAGTCAGCTGCAGTACCACTAAGCAGCCTTGTCTCATCAAAGGTCTTAGAGCTGAGTATGTATAACTCTTAGTTCTCTGGCTAGTAATATGCTAGACCGTCTATATCTAGACCACTACATATGGAGAAAGACTAGAATTAAATTGTGTATTAGTTCAATTTTTTTTACCTGTATTTGAAATTTGTGAATGTGTAACAATTTTCATGTGTCTAAGATACCTAAATAAAGAGATTATAAATATCTTTTTATTATTACAAACATCTTGGAAACAAATAAAATTAAAGACATTGACAAATAGACAGAAGGTTCTAGACACTGGCAAACAAAAAATATCTTATCAAAACAACCAGGGCAGCTACTTAGACAGTCAAAAAGTGCATATAGTACAGCAACTAACAGAATGAGAAGGCAGATCTAACATTTTTAGCAGATCTTATTATACATATTATTTTTATATATATTTCATTTTGATATTTCCTTACCATTTAGTTAGATGATTATTTAATTTGTTTTGGGCTAACAGAATATATTATACTAAATACGGATTGTACTGTACTTTTTTCTAGTTCTCCTTGCACAATCTGGAAAATGTCCATCAAAGGAAACAAAGCAGGTGTTACCATCAGAAGAAACTGTAGCTATGACTCTCAAGAGACTGACTCTGGGCCGCAGCTGTTCCCTTCATATACACAGAAGTTTGAAGAGCAAAACTGAACTGCTGGATGGAGCACTAGCCATAGGAGATGGGAATGCTGTACTTACTGTAAATATGGCATTTTGATTTTAATGGCAATATGCATTTAACACAACCAAGCTACAAAGATAGTTTTAAAAATTCCCTCTAGAGTACAGAATTTACAAAAATAGAACAGAACTCTTATCGTAGTATTGTTGTGTATCTTGTAAAATCCCTTTCAAAATACTAAATTAATATTAATTCTATTGTCTAAAAATACTGATCGGATTTGATAAGTTACATTTCATTTGATACCATAACTGCTGGTGAATCTGTAAATAAAACAGCTGGCAACAGTTTGTAACAGTGTGTAAGATTTACCTTTAAGAGATCTATTATAGTTTTCACATACGTAAATGTTGTTACCGAAGTTACCATTACCATTACCATACTCTAGCATAAAGCACTCTCATTGTTCAAATCAAATAACGCTTGCTTCCCGGGCTTCCTGTTGCCACTTCCGTTCCTTTTTACAAAGTGGTAGTAGACCACAGATTGCAGGAAAGTGCAGTAAGCTCATAATGCCTCTTATTTCAGGTAGTACTATTCCTTATCCAGACTTTGAACAAGAAATTGGTGTATGAACTTCTATCATCAAGACCTGTAGCATTGAACCACTACATCTCGTTCTTGCAGAACGAAGGCAAGATCACTGAGCTCACAGATTTACTTACGTAAGTGATCATTATAAATTTCATTGTTACTAAAAAAGGTTTGTTAATAATGATTCCGTGTTGTTGCTGCATTGACATATATATTACTTATAACTAGCTGACCCGCGCAACTTCGTCTGCGTCCCTCAATAGTAATAAATTTTCTCCGTTTTTGAAACATTCTTCATTGGTGCTTCGCTCCTATTGGTCTTAGCGTGATGATATATAGCCTATAGCCTTCCTCGATAAATGGGCTATCTAACACTAAAATAATTTTTCAAATCGGACTAGTAGTTCCTGAGATTAGCGCGTTCAAACAAACAAACAAACAAACTCTTCAGCTTTATAATATTAGTATAGATAAAACCGTTAAATCTATGAGTGTCTATTTTGTAGAATATCTAGATTTAATTGGTGTTCATGCCTTGTGGGCCGCGGCCTGCTAGGAATGACCACCTCGCCTGGTCGGAGGATCCTCCCTTTGTGTTGGAGGGACATAACACCAGTTCCTCCATAACTACTGGCAAGATCAACTGGGGAATTTTGTATATTTCAGGACGAACAAAAAATATTTTAGAACGAATTATTATGAGGCATTCTACTCCACCTTCCCTTCCTTCGGCTTTGAGGTCAGCGAACGATATTAGAAATGTTATAGGCATCTACTGATAGTGAGACTAAGTGTGTCTAGGTGTTCTTTGTATCCGTTTCATGCATGTTTGTAAAGTCCCCGCGACACATAATATAGTTCTAGATCGAGAGTTGTCTTTTGAATAGCAAAAAAACGGCAATAATATTTATACACCTTATTCACTTATTATATTATATTCACAGAATGCTCGGTCGGAGTCCTGAAGGTGCCGTAAGTTAACTATTATTACTAACCAACTGCAACTACTACACTATTTAGTTTTGTAATCGATATATATATATATATATATATATATGTGTGGTTTTATTTTATAACACTGTAAGAAACAAGCAAACAGCAGCTTTCTTAGACCCCGTTACATGCCCTGTAAATCTTATTTGTTGAAGTTTTATTTATAATACGAGAAATTATTAATTTATAATACGAAAACAATGTTAAGTAGCTATTTCTTCAGATAGAAGATTTTAATAATGATAGAGGCAAACGAACAGGCGGGTCACATGGTGGTATATTAAGTGGCTCCCGATAGACCCCTGCAACTCTTAAAGTTCAAGTGCTTTACTCATATTCCCCAATCGATTATCGCGGTAAAATCTAACCTATGTTAATCTCTGTTAATGTAGCTTTTTATTGGTGAATTGAATTTTTAAATTCGGTTTATTGGTTAAGGCGTGAAAGCGTAACAAACAAATTCACTTTGATACGTCAATACTGAGTATTATAATGACATAATCTATTCTTCAAATATAAATATGGAAGTATGGATTACTGGATGCGTCTCATGTTGACCCATTGGGTCTCACGCTGAACCGCTGTGACTCATTGCAAATAATTTACAATATATTAACGTTGGTATTCACGTCGGAATAATTCCTCCATGTTTTATTTTTTCTTTAGATGTACCAATATCAACACACAGTAAAGACGCAAGGCAACAACATAGATGCGTTACTACGGAAACTGATGAATCTCATGGCGAACCACTTTGACCAGCCAGGGGTAGACCAACACCAGGCCAAAATGTTGGCGGACTATATCAAGTTATTAGGTAATCTAAATATACATACATACACTCATTCCTATATCCAAAAAGGGTTTACAGAGGTATCTGCAACACCCACATTTTTCCGATTATGATTTTAGCCCCACTTACGTCCCAAAAGTTAAGCAATCGTATCCAGGTCAGTCTATGGATGAGTGTCCATTCTTAACACATTGAGACCCCTCCGTGCTTTGCAGAGCTCACTAAGCCACATGGTTGCCATATGAACATCTGTGGCATATGTAGTAATCATCCTAAAAAGTCCGTCAATAGTCTTTCTACAGAACTTCGATATCGCCTAGTACTGACCCAACCTAGTTTGGGAAAAAGGAGAAAGAATTTAGTCTCACTTACTGTATGCGCGATAACTCAGTAGATAGTAAAAGAAAAGAAAAGAAAGTGGACTGTATAAAATGATTTACTAATTTATGTGGTAACAAAAGATATTATATGCGTCTTGATGTGGTCTTTGAGGGCAAGTAACTAAAGAAGCCGCCTCGCGGCGCGGGCGGTGCGCGATGTCCGATGTGTCCATCTCGCTCTGGCCGCCGCCGCGTCTGTGTTGGGATGTCTCAACACTTACGTTATATGTGGCAAGGTGGTTGCCTTCAACCAGGCACTTGAGGAATTACCTAAATGGCAAAATTGGGAGTGAGTATGAAGGATAAGTAGGTAAAACTGCAAGGCATTGCTATATTGCTGGGTTGAGGAGTGTTAGCAGTGACTAGAAAGGATGAGGTTCTCAGTTTGGGTGTTTTTTTTTTTGTAATGGCAACTTCGTAACTACGATATACCTATATACTTACTATATATATATATATATATTTTATTCCATGAGATGAGGGTAATATTCGTTCTTTTTTTTTCTTTAGTTTTCTGCGTCATTTACCACTTGCAGAAATTAAATTCACCGTTGGTTATTTGTATGAAATACTTAATTATTAAAATCAAGCACATGGCAAGCATTTAAATATAAATAGTTTCTTTTCAAAGACTAAATATGGGGTAATAACGCAAAAGTAAAAAGAGCGAAAAATCACCCCCCTACTACCCCTTCAGCCTCAAATTTTAAGAAAAAAATCCACCACAGTACAGTTTATGACAGTTCATCATTATGAAGTCGCATTGAATTCGGTGGAAACAAGTTCACTATCTATGAGAATTTGTTATTTTTACTGAGTGGGTTTCGAACCAGAAACCACTACTTCACAAGTCCGACTCGTTAGCTAAGTAATTGTGTCCCTGACCGACAAATGAACCTGGTCCCTCTTAGCTGAAGAATTCAGATCCCTCAAATCATTCCATATTGCGCACCTTCATAATTACCATTTACAAATCACATTATAGCCCGGCAATTAAAATATTTCTCTACAAATTTCAGAATGGCAGAAACACGTGAACAAACCGGAGTTGACCTACAAGTCAGTGTTACAGTGGTTGGCTTACAACTGCGCCAACCACTGGCATGAAGGCGCCGGGAATGCCATGTCACCCTTGACGCTCTGTCAGAGGCATCAGGTACATCACTTTTAGTCTTATTTTTCATACATACAGCATAAACACGCCTATGTTTGCTAAGGGTTAGGCATCCTTAACACTTGTATTATGCCTTGGGTCTATTACTTACGTAATAACGTAAAGGTTTGTAAACTTAAAGTTGAATGTATGGATTTTTGTTATTCATTCACGCCCCAACGGCTCAATTCTAATTGAAAAAATCTAGTTGAAATATGGCACAGAGATAATTAAAGTCTGGAATGTGCGCTGTTTTTAACAAGCAAAAATTAACTGACAAAAATCGATCTTAACCCAAGCGAAGCCCATGGTAAAAGCTGGTACTGAATAACCACCATGTAAACATTTTGAGAATTAAAGGTGTGAAATTTCTGAGTGCAAACATATATTGAAAAGGTAGGTCCTGGAAGACCATGAAAGAATAAGAGTTAGCTTAGTTTGAACAGGTTAGAGCCGTTACCTTGCACTAGTTGCTGCCGGAAAAATAGAGTCCTCTAACATATAAATACAGTGGTTACAAAAACCTGTGTGGCCGAAAGTTAATTTTTGTTGAGAAAATTATTAAATGATTTTTTTTTCTCGGTAATATCAAAGTTGTATAATTTTTATCTTATGTACCTTTTATCTTCAAAAAAATACGGGCATTCCATTGACTGTATACAAAAAATATTTAGCGCTTTACGATGTCATTCACGGGGTATTTACCTTTCTGGAATACCCTACTTAATAATAAAAATGCGAATGTGGATTGGTTTATCCTTAGTCCTAAACTACTTGATCGACCGGTACAGTAAAGGAAATACTTCTGTTACAAAAAAAAATACATTTCTTGACAAATTCAAAATTACTTTAAAGTGGATTAAGACTAGTAAACAAAATTATTTTATTTTATTAGCTATTTTTCATTTCAGATAAGTCCTTTGCAGTATGACTGGGTAGTGCTCAACGTCCACGCTAAATCGGGAAAATGGGATATAGTTGAATCTCTGTTTACTAAAAAAGTAAGTGTGACACATTTATTTATTTTTAAATTCATTTTAAATAACTCGACAGTGTACAAAATGTTTTACTAACATTAATTGTCCCCCAGGTCAAATTTTGTTCGGAATTCATTATATTATTGACGTAGTTTTATCCACGTTTATTATCTCTGCTTGATGAAAAAAATGATATTAGAAACCCCAATATAATTTTTAAAGACCAATCCATAGATACGTATAGGCTTGATAAAAAAAATTGAGTTTCAGTTCTAAGTATGGGGAACCCCCAAAATTTATTGTTTTTTTTCTATTTTTGTGTAAAAATCTTAATGCGGTTCACAGAATACATCTACTTACCAAGTTTCAACAGTATAGTTCTTATAGTTTCGGAAAAAAGTGGCTGTGACATACGGACGGACAGACAGACAGACATGACGAATCCATAAGGGTTCCGTTTTTTGCCATTTGGTTACGGAACCCTAAAAATACGCCATACACCTGGCTTCATGATTGTATTTACAGAGCTCAATCTGTCATTAATGTGACTCGTCAAAACGAATTATATCAGCTCAAGTCGAGAGGTTGGTTAATAACCACTGCAGAGGTCCTCTATTAGCCGTTGAGCTCCATCGTCGTCAGCAGTCAGTAACGGCTAAACCTATTTAAATACTTACAAGTTAAGCTAATTAAAGTGAAGTATTAACATATAAATCGGTTGATAAGCAGAGATGAAAACGGTAGTGAGTTGTTATGTCTTTTGTCCAGCAGTGGACTATTAAAGGCTGTTGATGATGATGATGATGATGATATAGATGTTAAAAATGTTGTAGGACTGGTTGGGGCGTACCACGGTGTCATCTCATATCCCGATAGAAACTCTCCTGGCGCGGCTGAGCGAGTTGCAGGCCAGCAAGCAAATATTAGCCACGTACGTCAACAAGGTTGCAGGGAGCGATGATAGGTTGCGACTGGCGCATATGTACAAGGTAATACATACATACCTTCAAACACTATGTAATAGATTATTTTATATGGTTAAGAAAAATTGTTTAATAGGCCTCATGAAATAAAGAGTTTCGGAGCATAAGGTCAAAAATGCAAAATGACAAGTGGACAGTAAATTGTGAAAAGAACAGAATATCAAAAGCGCACAATGTCAAAAGCGCACATTGTCAAAAGCGCACATTGACAAAAGTGCACATTGTCAAAAGCGCATAATGTCAAAGTAGAATATCCAGTACCCAGAATGTCCAATATTATACGCCACGCCGCTTCCTACTACGCCGAGTGTTGTGGGTTCAAACCCCACACGGGACGACACTTTGTGTGATCCACAAATTGTTGTTCTGAGTCTGGGTGTCCTTTGTGTCCGTTTCATGTATGTTTGTAAAGTCCCCACACAGGATTTATTCCTGATGCGGGCGTTGTCTTTTAAAAAAAAAAAAAAAAAAAATAGAGATCGGTTAGCGGTTAAATGTCGGCCGATTGAAAAGTTTTATTTTATTTCGATGACCAGGAAACTTGAACTGTCATTGTATAGACTGTACTGTGACACGACAAAGGTGTAAACTGCACTAGATATAATATATCATGAATATCCGTCCTCAGTCCGTAGTCCGCCTGTGACCAGGGCTAGTACAACCTGTTCGAAATACTAGACAATTCAAAGATATTTAATAGTAAGTAATAATTAGATTTACTTTGGATCGCTAAAAAAACAGGTAATATCTATATCTATACAAATAAATAAAATTGAAGTGTCTGTTTGTAATGTCAAAATAATAGGTTTTTTATACTCACACGGTTATTTGCACGATAGGCATAGGGCCTAAAACCAGTTAAATATTTTTTATCTGTCCGTCTGTTTGATCCGGGTAATCTTCTATTTCAATTCAAATTCTACGTGAACGAAGTCACGGGTACCAGCTAGTTTCTAATATATCCAATGTTACAGATCCACTCGGTGGTTATAGAAACTTTGGCGAAACAGAAGGACCGAACAGCGCTCACTAACTACAAAATGACTCTGAGTCCGCAGTCCGAGGAATATATATTAGCTGAAAATACTCTACGAGACTCGGTAAGTTTTTTGTAACTCGTGTTTATATTAGAAATCGTGACTCGACTCAAACGGACAATCAACTGTGTTGTCAGTTTTTTGACACTCATAAAATTGAATTAATAAGAATTTAGTTTGTTTCTTTAAAAACTGAAACTGTATGTGGAATGTAGTTTTAACCTCTCATAAGCGCAAAGCGAAAAGCGCAAAATGCCGCTACACTGCATGATGCTTTCACCGGTGAGCGCTGGTCAGCGCAGCGGCACGTGAGAGGTTAAGGGACTAATGGTTTTGATAAAAATTATTTAAATTATAATAAGCTGTATTTTTTCTACTTTTTAATTTAAGTTAGTTACACTTGAGGTTGATTTCTCCAACTAAAAGGGTACTAGTCCCAAGCGAGGTAATCGAGCCCGGCAGACCGCGGTCCAACGGTTGAGGCTAGGGAGTTTTATATACTAAACGGCGCAAGAGCTATTATTTCACAAAGCAGGATTATAGTCCATTCGCGTTAAAAAAATAATGACGCATTGATCAAGGCCTGGCACCATGACCAATCAGGTTCAAGGAAATTATCGTTCTATACGAAAGCTTGGAACCTGATTGGTAGTATTACTTTGTAGTTCGGTGGTTCTTCGCTAGATGGCGTTGAAAAATGTTTATCGTTGTAAATGGAAGTCGCCACTTTAGTATGATTGCTTTATTTAATCGACTTTTTTGTTACAGACAATAAAATGGAAGAACTGAAGAAAAGTCAACACGTTATATTTAATTTTTGTATGTGTGTTAATTATAAGTATAATATATATTGTCAAGCGAATAAATGAGATTTTTTTTACCTGTTTGGTTGATAAATAATTTCAAATTACACTTACCTTTGTAAAAGGAAGAAAATAAATACATTTTTTATTCATTTACCCTATCCTGTACACTGCACTCAAGACACTCATAGATTATGGTCTGCAATGACAGAATAATTTTACTTGAAGAGAAAATGATTGTGGCAATCGACATTTTCTCCGAAAAAATAGTTACAATAAAAAAAACAATATAAAGTAAGTTGGTTGATCGTGATGTATTCTTGTTATTGTCTGTTGTGTTGTGTCTTTTATCTAACCATAATTTCCTTGTTAACGTAGTTCAAATTTTAAGACCCACATGTATGTACACTTATAGATAATGCCGTGCTCACCTTTAAATTAAAAGCATACACATATATACTAGTATGAATGTTTTCTTGTAAAATATCTAGTATAATTTTTTAGTTGGTAAACCTTATGTTCGTGGTTCTATGGTCCGGGTGGTGACGGATTAAGAATACAGAGTGTCACCACCCCTATTCATCCCGTGGGTGTCGTAAGAGGCGACTAAGGGAAAAAACTACGCAGGACAACAGCGCTGCAGAGAGAAGGAAAACTTGACACAAACCCTTTATTTTTTTTTTTTTTTTTTTTTAACGTGTGGAAATCCCCTCGGACCGTCACCCCTCCGGGGTTTGCGGCGGGGTGGTGTGTCGGACTCGGACCGACTAAAACCACACGGTGTGCCACTCTGCGCCTGTAACAGGAGGGATCCGGGAACAGCTGTTGTTAAGACATCCGGACCCCTCCTAGCGCCAGCCCGCTCCTGGTGCGGGCTCCGTCTCAATGTAGATGTTCCTCTCTTTAGGCGACGTCCGGCACACGCGGACGCCGCCCCCTCGCGGCTGGCCAACTAATGCGGGTGGAGGGGAAACCCACCCCGTCCACCCGCGGCCACACTCAGGGCGGCATGAGGCTGTGATAGGCGGGCCTCCGCCGCCCGGTTCGCCGGCGGCGGATCGGGTCCGAGTGGAGGTCGTCCTCCCGGGCCCTCTCCGCCGCCTCCTTCCGCGAGATTACTACCTCGCAGAAGGTTGCGACCGCGGTAAAACAACTGTCGCTACCGGCCATGGAGCGTACTACGGCCGGTAGCGAGAGATCCACTCCGATGACTGCAGTGAGGGCCCGGCGCTGCGCCGCCCATGCGGGGCAGACCGCCAGCGTGTGCTGGGCCGAGTCCTCATTGCAGTCGCAGTGGTGGCAGGCGGGACTCAGTTCCCTCCTAGCGACCGTGTGCAGGTACTTTCCGAAGCAACCGTGCCCGGAAAGCACCTGCGTCAGCCGGAAGGAAAGGGTCCCGTGCTGCCGCCCTGCCCACTCGGCGATGACCGGCTGGAGAGCCTCCACGGCGGCGAAGCCAGCGCGTGGAGTCTCCAGCCGGAACGACCAACGAGCCATCGTGGCTCGGCGAGCTGCTTCGCGCCACTCGCGCACATCCTCGGGCGGAGGGCGAAATCCGCTCTCCGCCCGGTAGTCAGCCACTCGCCGATAAACTTCGGCGAGCACTTCCCCCTCCAAATCCCACGGGGGAGTTCCGGCCAACGCGCACGCCACCTCCGTCGAAACGGTGCGGTAACCGCGTATGGCTCTGACCGCCATTACCCTCTGAGGGCGCCAGAGGCGTACCCTATTCTGGGCGGTCAGAGCCGCCGCCCACACCGGTGCACCGTACAGTGCCATTGACCGGACAACCCCCGTGTACAGCCGTCTTGTCGCGACGCTGGGTCCACCCATATTGGGCAAAAGTCGCCCTAGGGCAGACGCAGCGCCGACCAGCTTTGGAGCAAGCTGTCGGAAGTGCTCGTCGAAGAGCCACCTCCCGTCGAGGATCAGGCCCAGATATTTCATCTGGGCCCGAACCGGTACGAGGACCGAGTTGACCACGATGGAGGCGCCAGGGGGTGGACCACGACGGGGCCCATGAAATAACAGGGCCTCCGTCTTATCTAGGGCCACCCGTAAGCCCAGCGCCTCAATGCGCCCGACCACCAGGGAGACTCCCCCTGTGGCCAGGCGCGCCGCCTCTTGGAAGTTTGCCCCCCGGGCTGTCACCAAGGTATCGTCTGCGTAACAGATTACACCCAGCCCGGGGGGGAAATCGGCGCGAAGGGCCCAGTCGTACCCTATGTTCCACAAGAGGGGTCCAAGAACAGACCCCTGTGGAACACCGCACGACATGGGCCGACACCTCAAATTACCTTCTCGGTCCTCGTACACGACGGTACGCTCCTCTAAATAGTCTGCCACTAGCCGCCTCAGGTACTTTGGCACCCCATGATAGTGGAGTGCTTCCCTGATGCAGCTGAATGGCAGACTATTGAATGCGTTGGCGATGTCCAGTGACACCGCCAACAGCACGCCGCCACAGCTCACGGCCTCTTCGGTCACGGCCCTCAGGCGCAACACGGCGTCGACCGTCGAACGCCCCGCCCGAAAACCAAATTGGGCGTCCGACAGATCGGGGCCCACCTCGCAGAGGTGCCGGACGATGCGGGCAGAAAGAACCCTCTCAAACAATTTGCCCGCCTCGTCCAGCAGCACGATGGGCCTATAGGCCGCGACCGAATCGGCAGGCCGTCCCGGCTTCCTCAATAGGACCAGCTTCCCGCTCTTCCAGCACTCAGGGGAAGCGTCCCGACGCCAAGCTAGCGTCGAACACCTCCCCGAGGCGGTCTGCCATGTGGTTGAGGGCCAGGGCCAGCACTCGGGCCGGTACCCCGTCTGGCCCAGGGGCGGTGTTCTTGGAACGGATCCGTAGAACAGCCGCCCCTACCTCCGATTCCCGGACGGGCGGAACATTATCCTCCCCGTGCTCCCCGTCGTCTCCGGCCAAGGAGGCCATCGACGGGGGAGTGTGTTCCGCCCGTTGTGGGAAAAGGCCCTCAACCACTTCTCGCAGGAAGCTGGGCTGGAGAGTCTCCGTAAGGGGGGGGCCCGACGCGCGGAGCTTTTGTCGCACCGCGCGGTAAGGGCGACCCCAGGGGTCACGATTAAGACCCTCCAGCATCTCCTGTCTTTTTTCTTCTTTGGCGCGGCTAATGGCCAGCTTCAGAGTTTTCCGCGCCCGTCGGTACTCCTCATGAAGCCGGTCCTCCTCACCGTCTCCACGGTGACGCCGCCGACTGCGAGTGTAGGACCTCCGGTCACGTGTACAGGCCGCACGGAGGTCCGCCAGCTCCTGGGACCACCAGTAGACCTCCTTCCTTGGAGGCCGACGACCTCGAACGCGGGGCATGGCCGCATCGCATACATGCGTAATCGCATCGCGAAAGCGGCCAGCCCCCACGTCGACCTCCTCGGTCGGAGCCTGAGGAGACAGCCACGAGTGAATTATGGCTGCCTCCTCTAGTAGGTCCCGGTTCAGCCTGGCAACAGCCCACCGCGGAAAGCGGGATAAACGCCGCGCCACGTGACCCCTACTGGAGTCCTGGGTCCGGGAGAGCTCAAATCGGATATACAGGTGATCCGAGAGCGTCTCAACCTCTTCCAGGACACGCCAGTTCCTTACTCGTGCGGCGAGGGCAGGGGTAGCGAACGAGAGGTCCACTATCGACCCCCCCTGCTGTCGCACGCACGTGTTGGTGGAGCCTCTGTTTAGAAGACAGAGGCCCACCGAGGCCGCCCACTCCTCTACGGCCTCGCCCCTGGCGTCCGTCCTGGGGGAACCCCACGCAATGGACTTTGCGTTGAAGTCCCCCAGCACAAGGACGTGCCCAGACGCTAGTCGCCGTATCGAGGTCTCCAAGCTGGTTAGGAAAACCTCGAAGTCGTTCAAACTCCGGTTGGGGGAGAAATAGACACCATATATGGTGATCCGCCCCCACTCGACGGCAACATATCCAGTGCCCTTGTCTCTTAGCGACAAGGGCGGGGAATGAGCCGTCGTGGAACCGACGACTGCCACGGAGCCGTCCCAGTCACCCATCCAGTTTGGACGGGGAGGGACAGAATAAGGCTCCGCGACTACGGCAACACCTATCGACCACTGTGCCATGGTTTACAGGAAGAGATCCTGCGCCGCGGCACAGTGGTTCAGGTTCGTCTGGACCAGGAGGTTGGAGACTTGATCCATTACTGGATCGTCTCTACAACCTCCTCCATGGGCGACGACGACGACGCACGTACTATATCAGAGGCAGCCTGGGTCGACTGGCTAGCCCCTGACGTCTGCCGAGAACTGCGGGGAGGCTTACAGCCTCTCTGCCCCATCTGGTGATTGGCGGGCTTATTGCCCGCCGCACACGCTGGGCAGTGAGGGGCGGCAGAGCATTCTGCCGCCTTATGCCCCGGTTGACCGCAGCGGAAGCACAGTCCGCCGCAGTCGAAACAGCTGTCGCACTTGACGCGCGTGTGTCCCGATGCTAGGCATTTGTAGCACCTCATCGGTCTCGCCGCCAGGACTGTGATCCTGGCGCTCACGAAACCGATGAGCAGCCTGCCGGCGTCGGCCAATACTTTGGCCGACGCTACGGGACAGCTGACCCACACGGCGCCAAGCCCTCCTGGACCGGGGCGGATGGTGCCGACCCTGACGTTGTCCGCGCTGCACCCCGTCTTCTCCCGGATTACAGCGCGGACATCTTCGGCCGTCACAGAGTCGTCCAGGCCCGAGATGCGCAGCTCTGCGCACTTAGTAGGCCTGGCGATCTTTACACCATCCGTGGCTGTAAAGAGTCCCCGCAGCTTCTCGGCAAATGTGTCCGCCGTCTTAGCGCCTTCAGCCCCAGGGAACTCGAGGACTCGAGCTCCCGTCTGGGCGAGGCGCATCCTGACCCCCACCGTCCCAAAGTCGTTGGCGAGGCTGTCCCGGGCCTTTTTAAAAACGGCCGCGTAGGACAGCCCGCCGTCAGCCGCCTCCGGGGACACGGTCACAACTACAGCCGCGGT